ACGTTAGTCTAGCCAAATACCTTTTCTCTAAACACCTGGTCAAGCTAGCGAGCTAGCTAACTAATGTTAGCTTTCGGGTGTTAGCTAGCCATTTTAGTGCTAGTTGATAAAGTTGTTCTTACCTAGCTAATTACTGTAGATTTAAGTTATTGACGTAACCTACTAGCTAGATCAATTAACATCGTTTTTTCTCATTGTAATATTAAATGGTGGTCACAAACTCTCACTTAACTAATGTTGTTTATAGCTTTAAAACTAGGATCCTATACCTTAAGTATTTGGTGATGGTAGTTATGTAGCTAAGTAACGGCCTTTCTCTTTTTATTTTCTTCTTATTTCAGAGAAAGCATGTATACCATCTTAAGAAGTATGGAGAACTGACGGCAAACACACTGAAGAGAAAACATGCCCCTAAGACGCCCTCCACCATCAAGCAGAGCACATTACTGAAGACAGTGTCTCAAAAATCCATTGACAAAGCTGTGGTGAAGTATGTGGTCCAAGGGCTCCAAACATTCGCTGTTGTGGAACAAGAACCGTTCAGAGTTTGTCCAGGATCTGCAGCCTAACTCAAAGATCTTATCAAGGCCCACACTGCGCTCCAGGATTGATGAAGCCTCCACAGAAATGAAGAAGAAGGTGACTGAGGCCATGAGAGGAGTTGACCACATCGCCACCACCACCACCGACTGCTGGTCTGCAAGAAGACGGAGCTTCATTGGTGTTACAGCCCACTGGATAGACCCTGACAGTCTCAACAGATGCTCTGCAGCCCTGGCCTGTAAACGGTTGAGAGGATCGCACACCTTTGATGTGTTGGCAGGCGCCCTAAATGACATCCATTCTGAGTTTGAAATCCGGGGTAAGATTTTGAGAACAGCAACAGACAACGGCTCTAACTTCTTGAAAGCTTTCCAAGTTTTTGGAGAAGATGAAAACAACGAAGCAGTGGGTGGTGAAGCAGCTCAGCCAGGACAGGAAGATGGTGAAGAGGAACAAGAGGAGAGTGAAGAAGTGGAGTTTGTTGATGTGGCAACAATCCTGAATAAAGATGATGGTTTTGAGTAACAGCTGCCAAAGCACCAGCGCTGTGCTTGCCACCTACTCAACTTAGTATCTACAGTCTATGCCCTGAAAGCAACATCCAGTGAGGTTTACAAAAAAGTGTCCCGTTCAACATTTGGCAAGTGCCAAGCACTTTGGAACAAATGCGGAAGATCCACACTTGCAGCCGAAACGGTTGAAGATGCTTGCGACCTCCAGCTGCTGCTCCCGAATGCTACAAGGTGGAACTCCTGGTTCATGGCTGTAGAAAGACTCCTGAGGATCGTCAAAGACAAAGGAGATGTGGCCGTCAGAGTTCTCTGCACAGACTTTGAGGTTCCAATGTAAGTAAGGATTATGTATTATTTTGTTATAATTTAAGGTTTTGAATGTTGTCTAAATCTGTTGCAGTGTTTCCTGACCCTTTGCTTGGGGACTAATAACTGTTTCACATGTTGTAGCCATACACTATCATTGATCCATTTAGTCAACTACTCATCCAGCCATTGATTACTGTAGTTAAATAAGGTGAAATGGTTAGTGGTCCCCTTTGTATAGGGTTAGGAAACAGTATTATAAAAAAACATATAATCATAGGTTCAATCCAGCTGAACTCGCCTTCCTCACAGAGTATGCTGCCACCATGAGCCCAGTCGCAAAGGCCATCAACATCCTGCAGGCTGAAACCAATGTCCAGATGGGGTGGCTACTTCCAACTATCAACCTGCAAATCACAAAACTTGACCGAATCAAGTTGTAGCTGAAGTACTGTAAGCCTCTGGTGGATGCGCTACAACTGGGACTGAAGAAGCGCTTCAGCCACATGTTTCACAACCCTGAGCTGATCGCAGCTGCAATCCTTCTCCCCAAATGTAAAGCAACGTGGACAAAGGATAACGCCACCATCAGAATGGGTAAGACAACGTGGTTAATTAACAGTATTTTATTATTCGTAAACAACTGTATGGTGTACATTTTGACACTTCATAGATTTGAGATCCACCCATTTAAACTACAATCCTGACTGTGGTTCAGTCCAATGGGTAGCCTACTTCGCCCTGTTGCTTGGTTTATATAGATAGGGGATGGGGATGGATCATAATGGCATGATTTCTATTGTCATCTTTCTTGTATTTCAGGAATGGACTACATCAAGGACCACCTGGAAGAACCCTTGCTGCAGCTAGGTGATGGCACCAGTTCATCAGATTAGGAGGACTTCTTCTCTGCCATGAAGACATCTTAAGCACAAGAAAGCTCCAAACAGGTGGACGGATACCTGGCCTGTTCAGCTGATCATATGGAGTTGCTCAAGTCCTTCCCGGCAGTCTGTAAGCTGTCTCTGAGGCTAAACACACCCTTACCTGCATCAGCTGCATGTGAAAGGCTGTTCAGCATTGCAGGACTTGTTTTCAGCCCCAGGAGAGAAAGGCTAGATTCCAGAAACTTTGAAAACCAGCTTTTACTGAAGATGAACCGTAAATTCTTCAACTTCAAGTAATGACAGCTGCCTGGATATGGATGCCTTATGCGTGTTGTTAATTTATGTGTAAAATTCACAAGTTATAGGTGTCCTTGTTACAAAGGCATGACCTGACACTGATTTCTAATACAGTTCTATCAGTGGTGATGTCCTCATATTCCTACAGTGAGGTTGTGTGCAGTTCTGTACATGTACTTTTGATAAGCTCATCACATTTTTTTATTTTTATGTATAGGGTTCTATTATAGGATGTTTTTTCTAAAGCAAAGTGACTGTGATTGTAAGTGCTTACGTTTACTGACTATATTCCTTCATTATTAAGGCATAATACTATTTTGTCTGCAAGAGATGTATTTTGAAGTGTTGCCTATTTGAGAATCCACATTGTTCTGTATCCGTAAGACTGTTACCTTTCAGAAAAGCTCAAACCAAATAAAAGGTCTGGCTTTTTGGATTTACGGCTCTTAGGTTTCATACTTTTACTTTTGATACTTAAGTACATTTACCTTACGGCTATTTAGTATCAGGTACTCTAAGACTTTTACTCAAGTAGTATTCTAATGGGTGACTTTTACTTAAGTCATTTTCCAGTAAGGTATCTTTACTTTTACTCAAGTATGGCTTTTTGGTTCTTTTTCCGCCACTGCTTAATATAAGGAATTTGATGTATAACATTTACTTGTTACTTTTATTCAAGTATGATGATTGAGTACTTTTCCCACCATTGTACTTAAGTACATTAAAAACTGATATTTTCAGACTTTTACTCAAGTAGTATTGTACTTGGTGACTTTCACTTTTACTTGAGTAATTTTCTATGAAGGTATCTTTACTTTTACTCAAGTATGACAATTGAGTACTTTTTCCACCACTGAAACCACCTTGCATGTTGACCTCTGCCACCAATGAGAAATTGAACAAAAAGGGAGAAGAAAAACACTAGCTATCTCACTCTCGTTGAGTGGAGAGCACTGATTGGACCTCTCTGACACTTGCTTCCTAACTCTCTGTACATTCCAATATGGAAGGAATGTCCAGCTCCATCCAGTGTGTGTCAGTGCTGTGGCTCCTGAGTGACTCGCCACATATGGTGTATGTTAACAACTAATGATAGAACAAGACATGGGGAGCAGCTTGGTAATGTCTCTCTTGGGCACTTGGGAGTGTGATCATGAGGGCTGAGAGGTCTTTGCTGGCTGGCTGCTTTGGCATGGAGCCCTGGACTTGACAAGCACATCTACTCAGTCGTCCTGGTTACATCTCTCATATTTACATGTGTTATTACACTACTGTTTGGTTGAATGAAGGTGGCCTGAATTATTGTATCGAACAATTTTTGGGGCATGACAGCAGCAGAGTGGATGGATTTGATGTCTATTTCATGTGAGACCATGAGACATTCCCCATTGTATAAACACCTTTCTTTTCCCGAAAAACATGATTCAGCTACAAGGGAGACATTTTTTATATTTATGGACAGAAAAGGAGCATCATTTTGTTTGTTTTGTTGTTAGTGTTGAAATCTGATGTGAGTAGGCCTACTAAAATGTTTGTGTTGTTGGCCGCAATCTTTTTAGCCCACAGATGCTTTTTAATGGTTCAAATGTCAGCAAAGAGAATGATTCGAATCTAGGACTATATAAATACATGAGCAAGGCAAGCGTCACAGCTGCCAGTAATGAAAACAAATTGAAACCGTCGCTGACAAATTATCAGCAAAAACGTGTCATCCAGGATGCACAAATTGTATGTATTTGTTGATGAAGAGAAAAACATAATTTTGTTGATGTGGAAACCTGTTGCCTAGAACTTATATAAATATGAATCTTTTTGAAGATCTGGATTTTATAGCACCAGGTTAATTCAGAAGGAACTGTTTCTGATGGACTTGGAGCCTTGAGTCTAATAACGGTTTGGGAAAAGCAGTATGCAGAAAATGTAGAGCAGTTCATTGACTCATGACACACACCAGCTTTCCAACTGATAGCTGATGACTCTCAGAGCTGCCCCATACTAAAACTAGACTACTCACGATGCACACATTGTCCTACTATGCTGTAGCCTGTTTCCTTGATATCTGAAAGGGATGGTGCCATCTAGTGTCAAAGGACCAATGTAACAACGTCTACAAAGCATGTTTGATTTGCAAGTAATACGTTGTGTTGGACAGTATAGTGATGGTCAGGCCACTCAGGAGCATACAGGCTAGTAGCCTATTATAATCATTGGGTTAAAGATTCCATTATGTAATGGATTAGTGTTGGTAGTAGGCTATTAGTAATGATATAGCTATAATGCAAATATATTAATCAAAGATCCACTTTGCTATATATAATGCTATCCATGCTGGATAGTAAATCCAGGCTGTTGCTAAAATTTTATGTCATTCTTGGAGATCTGTTGTAAGAACAGACTTGGTTGAATTTGTGTTCTTGAAAACATATGTCACGACCCCATTGGTCATTTGGTCCCCTTGGTTTAACAGCGGTTGGGTAGATATGATGCCTATCATTAGCGCTGAACTGACGTTCAATAAACCCTTGCTCTAGTCGAGGATACTAAAGTTTATTTCATAGCTACACTCGTTTATCATTTCTAAACCACAGGCAATGGGAAGTTAACAGGAAAATCTGAAGTTCTGGGACCTGACGTTTATTTATCGAGTGAAACAGGTGTTATTGTTGTTTGTTTCTGTAGAAATGGGCTCGACAAACTCCACCCTGTCAAAAATTCCAAACGTCGAAGAATTAATGCAAGAAACGGGTTGTAAGTTCTCGGATGGGTAGGACTGTAATTTAGGGTACTAGAAAAACTGTATTGAGATTGTCATGATTGTACAATAACGTCATAGTTTATGCCAAATTCGAGGACAAATCTTTGAGTGGGCGAATAACGGGATTTCATTATAAATGTTATTGTGACAGCTGTATGGAGCCCAAGTTTTCTATTGCTTCTATTGCATTTCGTCCTCAAAGTTTTAGAGTGCAGATACGTTGAAATGTGTGCAAATTATTAATCGCTTTCGCAACCACAAGATTGATGGTTGACAGGTGCGCAAATTGTGCGCGCAACTTTGGCTGGCCAAAAGACGCATGCGTCTTACCCGACCAAGTACAGTATTGAATATCTAAGCTTTGAACAGATACTTATTTTGACATATACATGTGGCTTTGAGAAGTTGTAGGTAAATGAATAACTTGGCCTTTAGGCTACTTTTACAAATGCTTGAATAATTCATGGAGTGTTTGCTTGAATGGAATCCAGAGCAATGAACTGGCCTCTATATGGTTATTGCATATATTGATTAAATTATTTGGTGTGCCACTGTCCTGCCCCATTACTAATAGCATGAATCGATGTTCTCTTGTTTTCTCATTATAGTCACCCCTGCACACATTGTTCGACTTTATGACCGTTTCGAAGCATTGGACAAGGAGAAGACAGGCCATCTCCGGTAAGTGGTGGGACCATGTCATCTTTATGGAGTTTGTTTGTTGAACCAGTGTTGACTAAAACAGTGCATTTCAGAATAACTTATGTCTGAATGTCCTGTCTTTGTTCTATCCCCATTACTGTGAAGCCCACAGGATTTCGGAGCCATTAATAGGTTGGCGATGAACCCCATTGGGGATCGGATCATTGGGGCTTTCTTCTCTCCAGGGTATAGAACAACATTTCTTACATGTTTGAGTAACATTACTGACTTGATAACCTCGCCAATGAAATGGTAAGGTGAAGGTTAATGCCAACAATTTCTTTTTAAATCAAATGTCCATGTATCCTCTACTTTTGGAATGTAAGCGTTCTGGTCTTAAAATAATATCTCTCTCAGACAGGAAACGGTGGACTTCCACTCCTTTGTGAGGATCCTGGCCCACTTCCGGCCTGCGGACAAAAACCGTCCCAAAGATCCCAGTATGCCTGAACCTGTCAACAGTAGGACCAGTAAACTCAAGTGTGAGTCCTCTGGCAGATAGTTGACTCACAAAATAAATGTTTGCACTAAAATTCAACTCAGTCAGTTCCCCCCTGGTTTTCTCCTTCCTTTCAGTTGCCTTCCAACTATATGACCAGGACAAGGATGGCAAAATCTCCAGAGCTGAGCTTCTACAGGTCCGTAATAACTGTTAGCTTTACTGACAATAATACTCTGTATGTTGAGCAACACAATATACCACCAATAGTTAGTGATGCAAATTGTTTCTCTGTTGTAAACCAGGTCTGGTATGTCCCTGCAATTGATGGCTAAAATGCCAACACCCTATACCAGAGGTATTCAAATCTTACACTATGAGGTCCGGAGCCTGCTGGTTTTTCTGTTCTACCTGATAGTTAATTGCACCCAACTGTTGTCCCAGGTCTAAATCAGTCCCTGATTAGAGGGGAAGTATGAAAAAAGCAGTGGAACTGGCTTCAAAGTCGGGATTTTGAATTTGAGGGCCCAATACAATAGAATGAAGCCATTCTCCAATGAGTTTGGAATGTGATTGACAGCTGAGGGTGATTGACAGGTGCTACGGTCCATGCTGGAGATGCAGGTGACGGAGGAGCAGCTAGAGAGCATTGCCGACCGCACCATCCTGGAGGCTGACCTGGACAAGGATGATGCCATCTCCTTTGAAGAGTTCCGCAAGGTACCACCGGGAGGAGCTCTAACACTGACATATCAACATGGTGCATTGCAGTACAGTGCACCCAGAATTCTAAGACATACAAAGTTCATGCACATAGAAAATGATGTTGGCCATTGCAGTAGTCAAACAGCATACTGTACATTGTACGATGACAGTGTTTTGCCTATCCTCTCTCATATTCAGTGGCTGCATGTGCTGTATTTGACTGTGATGTAATATACCAATTCCACCATTTGTTGGTCTACCTTTGGCTTTTCTTTTTCCTTACAGTCCCTGGAGAAGGTAAACATCGACCACAAGATGAGCATTCGCTTCCTGCGCTAGCTAGAGTGGTTGCATTGGGTCAACTGACCGTTCACAGAGATGTAGCCCACTTTGTGTGTACTCATCCCTCCATGGTAAAAACAAGGCTTCAGCAGGGAACTATTACTATGCTACTGATTCCTTTAACTGGATGACTAACACTAAATATCGTAAATGACTGACTAAAATGCTGTAACTTAATATGTTGTTTACAGCATACTGGAATATGGGGATCATGTTCCAAAGTCTAACCGCACTATAGGCCTACTGTATAACTACATAATAACTGCTTTTATATAATACAGTAAAATGCCATTTAATAATAATAATTATACATGGGACTTATAGCACTTTTCAAGGACCCAAAGTCGCTTTACAATTGTAGTTTTTTTTTTGTTGCAGAACCTACATTTTAAATTATGTTAGTTTTGACAAGGGCAAACATAAGCTTTTAGGAAGGGAAACAGATACTTGAAGTTCACTCTTCCTTGAACATTTTTAAAAAGTAAAACTTGACTGTAATAAGTCTCTAGATGTAGCAGTCGGTGTCCAAATACACTGAACATGAGAACTATACATACGAGTATGAAAGTGATAGAATATTTCTACAAATAAATATTTTTGTAAATTATATCATTAATTTACAGAGTTGCTTATGAGGAGAAAAGGCCATGAAAAACTTAAGCTTGGCTATAATTGTGTTTCAATAGATTTGTTTTAGAGAGAATGACAGTCCAACAAAAACTAAGGTGTACATTTTGACCCAGAGTAATGAAAGGGTCTGTTTGTGACTGACTGGATGACATTGAACTAATGTGTGCCAAAATCTATTTCTCAAATCTATGAATTTTTTTTGTCAGATACATGGAATCATAATTAAATAACGCTATTGGTGTTTGAGTGGAGTATTTTTGCAACTGATTTTCATATTTCAAGCATCAGTACATTTAGCTTTTTGATGTTACTGATTAAAATAGTCACACCTCCTGTTGCTATCTATGGCCGTATAACATGGGGTTATTTCCAAAGTTTGTTCCTTGTGAAATGTTCCTTATAATTTCTCTGATTGAACACAGGGTGGCAGGAATAGATATTTTCACTGAGGTTAAGTGAAATAGCACATGGGTGATAGTGGAAAATAAAGTATTTCTTAAGTGGTTGACATTCACACACACTGACATTCAGGCTTGCCGTGAAACAGAGGCATAATGGAGACATTTATTCTGTACATAAAGTGTGCCATAACATTAGAAGAAGGTCATAAAGAGGAATTGATTTCAACAATAAACACATGCATTAGCAGGGCTTCCTCATTTGCCCTTAGGCTGACAGGCACATAGAATCCAGAATAAGGAGTATCCAGTGCCTAAAAAGAACAGAGAGACACAATGATTAGAACGTATATGATGCAGCATAGAAAACCCATCAGCACAATACTCCAAATGTACAGAGTGCGTTGATGGAAGAATGTAACAGGGACCTGCGAGGGTGATGGTCATTGTTAGACGGTAGAGAAGGACATCAGTGGTCCCTCCCTTGATGTGGACTGGCAATCCATTGTCCGCCTGTAACCAAAGTTAGGGGTCAAATACCTATTCATGATCATGAATCACTGGGCTTTCATTGCAAGCCAAAAATAACTTTGTGATATGTGATGATAAACCAGACTGAATTGCATTCCAGACCATTAATCTGAAGAACGGAACAACTATCCCGTTAGGTCCCTTTAAAACCCGTAATGCTCTTTTTCAATGTTCAACACTGTGATAAGACTGAGGTGCCGACCAACAACGGTGGACCTCAGGCAATTCATAAATCTCGCAACATGACACATATAGTAGATCACAATCAGGTCAATGTTGCTCTGAAGAACTTGATTAAACATGTTCTGTACACATTGATGAATGATGTGACAAAGTTTACTTTTGTTTGCTGCCAAAATCACATATTGTAGACATTGTTGGCCCATTGGTTGCCAATAAAAATCTAAATTCACTGATAAGACACCTCTTGTTTTCTTAGTTTGGGATTGTTTCTCATACAGGTTGGGATTGTTTCTCAACCAGGAATCCTAATGATGTCATGCTCACCTGGAATAGCTTCTGATGATCTGGCACCTTGTTCTTCATCTGTTTGGTTGTTGTGCTGAAGGCTCTGGTAGCCAGCCGGGGCAGCTTCTGAAAGGATCCCACAGTCATAAAATCAGCCATGCTACCCTTTGCATCCCTAACTGCCAAATGTCCCAAACAAATCGGTTGGATTCTTAATGGGACATGCTGACTGAGCGGCTGAGGCTAGGTGCTATTTTCATAGTGTTTCTAGTAGAATAAACCATTTGATAATAACATAACAATAGTATAGTATGTTATTTAGAGAATGGATGATCAGTATTACATGGTAATAATAGCTTGGGATTTACCTTTGTGGTTCAACACCTGTTTTTCTACTTTCACTTTTAGAGGGATGTGATAGTAGCCTGTTGTTTCCTATAAGAGGAAAGCGCTATGGAAAACTCTTTGGGTTACTCTTACTTCCCTCTCCATTTAAATAGTGTTTGTCATGACGACAACTGCTATTATATACAGTCTTGGTTATGAGAGGAAATATCCACTTCTAACTGGTTTAAACCTTTTGAGTGGCAAAAAAAGTATGAGTGGTTCGCATACACAAAAACATTAGACAGAGCTGCAAATGTTCTTTTTTCTTTTCTTTTAACAGCATGCAGGGGGGAAATTTCACAGACTTTTAGGTGTGTATCACCTTCAGTATGTTTTAGACCTTTTGAGTGAATATACCATTTTGGCATCTTAGACATACTTTCCATCCAAAGTGGTGCTAGTTTCAAAGACAGCTGGTTTGTCACATCAAAATGCTTGATTAAATCAACATCCTCCAAGATACAAACAACCAAAAGCCTTCTCTGTAAACAAGGCAGAGATTCAGCTTCCTTTGACAAATAATCTGTCACTCCTAATGAAATATGAAATCAGACCACCTATCGATATTCTGTAAAATGACACTGTCAAGTAATTACCGGCATATAACCATTATTGTCAATGAAATAATCTGTTGAAAATCGGGGTCAAACCATACCCCCTAACCCATACCACTTGTTCTGACCCAGGTAGTTTAGTGGTGGGTCATAGTGGTTAAGAGCGGTGTGCCAGTAACCGAAAGGGTGCTGGTTCTAATCCCCGAGCCGACTAGGTGAAAAATCTGTCGATGTGCCCTTGAGCAAGGCACTTAACCCTAATTGCTCCTGTAAGTCGCTCTGGATAAGAGCGTCTGCTAAATGACTAATTATTATTATAGTTCATTCATTATAACAGCACTATTTCAGCACTGGAGACTTGTGTTCTGAAAGAAAGTAATCTCTATTCAAGTTTTTAATCTATTGGTCTTTGTATCACGTAAACATTCTCTGTGAGGTGAATCTCTTACTACTTTTTACTATCACAGGCAAAACCTTTTCATTTAATTGAAGACCATTTTGTATACTTCTGTTGACTTGGGTTCTGTCCCTTTAAGAGAACTGTGCCACAGTGTGATCTCTACCAAGGTCAAATTGGGTGCCTGAACCAGTGGGCGAGAACTGGCATTGCTGCCAGCCAATGACTGCCACTCAACCTGTGACCTCAACCAATTAGATGATATATTTTGGAGGGAGGAACATTAAACCCTTCCCCTTGGACTGGATTCCCTGTGTGTGTGTGTATGTGTGTGCGTGCATGTGTGTGTACATGTGTACATATGTGTAAGCTATATGTGGACATGGCACAGTTTGCCTAGAGAAATCATAAAGGAAAGATAGAGGAAATGTGAATCAATGAAAATATACAACACTAATATACAATAGCATTTTTCCACCTCACCGAGAAGTGAGAGGGATATAATTAAAATAATATGACCTCTCAGTAGGAGCTTGTAAACAACATATTTTAAAATATCAATAAGACCCAGTTTTTTATTAAATTTAATCTGAATGACAATATGAGTCCAATACGACCTTACAGAGAGATTATCTAGACAGATAGTAATATATCTCAGTAACTACATTTCTCTAGAATGACATCAGAATCTCCTGGGACCACCCTTCGTGTTTTACTGTCTAAAGTTGCTTATATGCAGGCCTCACTATCAGTCAACCACCGGGGCAGAGACGGGGCCTGCAACAGGTTATTTGAGGCCATAGTCCATCTAACTTATCCCCCACACATACTGGAATGTATTTCTTTATCTAATACTTAGCAACAAGTAATCAGGAAGACACATAGCACAACTCATTTTGCCTTCTACTCTCCACATTAATAAAAGGTGGTACAAAGGTCAGTCCAACTGTACTTTTCTATCCAAATAAGATCCAAGATTCTATTAAAAATATTATAAATCTTTCTATGATTCAGATTACCATTAGCAGCAGAGAGAACAGAAAAAGTAGGATTATTTAAACGTTTTTACCAGTAGGTGATTCATGGCGGAGGTTGTACTCAGTGTGAAGCCTCTTGCTGCTTGTCTAGCCGTGGCCCGTACAAGGGCAGAGTCACATATTGCAGTATTTCTGAATGGGAGCCAAACTATGGTCACCAGGAGAGACCAAACTCTCCCAGCACTATGGAAGTGCTCAAGCCTTCACTCCTAAGGTCTAAAATTGCTTCTTTGGTTCCCGTTGTTCACACTGATTTCTGTCCTCACACATCATTAAATATAAATATGTTTATTTGAATTGAAGTGAAATTCTTTATATGGAAAATGTATGCTTCTCATTTACAGTTTGTACTTAGGTGATGTCATTCCTGTATTTGCATCATTCTAATTGATTCACTTGTTTTCGGGCACACGATCCATCTTCCAGTTGTGTGAATAATATTATAAAAGAGTCTCAAAGCCAGACACTCTTGGTTTCATTTCTGGGTTGAGGTCCTCAGAAAGAGGAACTGAGTCTGTTGTCTCACCTCTCCCCAGCTGTGATCATGAGATCAGGCAAACAGAGAGCTTTGGTTTAGCATTTTTCTCACATTAGTAGAGAACTGTCATCATAGATCAGTCACACATGATCACTGTCTCTGGTAAGTCTCATAACACATTTGTTATAGTTGTACTATATGGTTTGTGTAAACTTGATGTTTATAGGCATACATGTATGTCTCTAGCTGTCCTTGTTTGTAGTTAGATATGGAAACAATAGTACGATTTAGCGGTGTAGACAAGGCCTAACTCAACAGTAAGGCTTGCACATGTGAAATGTATGATACCTCTTCAACTGGTGTCTAACACAAGATGTTAGCATAATTTGTTATGACATTTCTATGAATTGACAAGTTTGCGGTGTCTTTAATGTTTATGAGAACAACATACTTCACACTTTTTTCACATACAATTGTAGCCAATATATTTTTGTCACACACTCCTAGACTAGCATAAATATGCTTTCACCAGTGCTGCTCATGGTGGCCTTGCTTTCTGTCCTTACCCTCACCATGGAGTCTGACCACTGGACAGCAGACCAGCAGGAAAAGTAAGATCAGGATCTTGCATTGTAAATACATCAATCCAACGGTGTAATGTAGATCAACCAAGTGCAGAAGTTGGATTTTCAACTTCTATAGTACATGTCGATTTTTGACTATAATACTATATTTTGGGACAAGCATAGTTGCATGTGCCTCTATCATGAGTGTGATGTATTGTTATGTTCAAATATGAAATAGTCTTGGGCATTAGGATACAGAATCATTCTATCTCTCCCAGGTTCTGTACATGGCAGTGTTTGAAGTTTACTCTGCAGTGGCCTGGGAGCTTCTGTTTGGTGAGGTCAACCACTTCTCCATAGCACTTCACCATCCTCATCGTCGTCAATCACCCATTCTTGTTATTCTAACTCAATCTAACTCTGCACAGGGTCTAAAGAATTCATCTCAATGCAGAATACCTCCAAACATCCAGAACTGGACTATCCATGGACTGTGGTAAAAACACATTTTTAAAGGGGAAATGTGTGAATGGTACATCCATGTTTGAACTTTTAAATTAATTGTATATACCCATAGATTTTTGTCATTCCCCATCAGAATAAAACCTTTTGACTGATCTTAATAAACTGAATGAGAATGCCAATTCATATCTGATCATTTTTCTGTTTTTGACCTAGGCCTTTGAAAGCTCATACATGTTGCCTCTGCTGGCCAATATTCCACTCCGACCTCAAGGTAAAACATGTCTCTGGTTACAGTCACCATCGAAGGACAATGAAGAATCTGTGTGTTCAGAAGTGATCCCTCTTTCTTTCAGGACCTGGACCCTGAACTCTCTCAACTTTGGCCATCCCTACTCAAGACCCACTCCAGTTTTCTCTTCTGGTAAGAGGCAGGATGGGGGTCAATTTCGAATTGAATAGCTTCTCCTTTTCAGTTTATTGAGAAGTCATTAAAAAGAGATGGCCTTTTTTAAATTATTGAATTGGAATGTCAGTTTACTTCCTGAATTGACTGGCTTCAATTCGAATGGACCCCAACCCAGTTAAAAGGTCTTCTTACCAAATTTGTTTCTTCAACTTTTACACTACCTGTTTCACCATCTATCTCTAATATACAGTGCATTCGGAAAGTATTCAGACCCCTTTACTTTTTCCACATTTTGTTACGTTAGTCTTATTCTAAAATGGATTAAATTGTTTCCCCCCCCCTCATCAATCTACACACAATACCCCATAATGAAAAAGCAGAAACAGGTTTTTAGACATTTATGCAAATGTGAATAAAAAACGGAAATATCACATTACATAAGTATTCAGACCCTTTACTTAGTACTTTGTTGAAGTACCTTTGGCAGTGATTACAGCCTCGTGTCTTCTTGGGTATGATGCTACAAGCTTGGCACACACTCTTCTCTGCAGATCCTCTCAAGCTCTTTCAGGTTGGATGGGGAGCGTCGCTGCACATCTATTTTCAGGTCTCTCCAGAGATGTTCGATCGGGTTCAAGTCCGGGCTCTGGCTGGGCCACTCAAGGACATTCAGAGGCTTGTCCCGCTGTCACTCCTGCGTTGTCTTGGCTGTGTGCTTAGAGTCGTTGTCCTGCTGGAAGGTGAACCTTTGCCCCAGTCTGAGGTCCTGAGCGCTCTGGAGCAGGTTTTCATCAAAGATCTCTCTGTACTTTGCTCCGTTCATCTTTCCCTCGATCCTTACTAGTCTCCCAGTCCATGCCGCTGAAGTCCATGCCGCTGAAAAACATCCCCACAGCATGATGCTGCCACCACCATGCTTCACCGTAGGGATGGTGCCAGGTTTCCTCCAGACGTCACGCTTGGCATTCAGGCCATAGAGTTCAATCTTGGTTTCATCAGACCAGAGAATCTTGTTTCTCATGGTCTGAGTCCTTCAGTGGCTTCCGTCTGGCCACTCTACCATAAAGGCCTGATTGGTGGAGTGCTGCAGAGATGGTTGTCGTTCTGGAAGGTTCTCCCATCTCCACAGAGGAACTCTTGAGCTCGGTCAGAGTGACCATCGGGTTCTTTGTCACCTCCCTGACCAAGGCCCTTCTCCCCCGATTGCTCAGTTTGGCCGGGCGGCCAGCTCTAGGAAGAGTCTTGGTGATTCCAAACTTCTTCAATTTAAAAATGATAGATGCCACTGTGTTCTTGGGGACCTTCAATGCTGCAGAAACATTTTGGGACCCTTCCCCAGATTTGTCCCTCGACACAATCCTGTCTCGGAGCTCTACGGACAATTCCTTCGACCTCACAGCTTGGTTTTTGCTCTGACATACACTACCAGCAAAAGTTTGGACACACCTACTCATTCAAGGTTTTTTCTTTATTTTTACTATTTTTTACATTGTAGAATAATAGTGAAGACATTTAAACTATGAAATAACACATATGGAATCATGTAGTAACCAAAAAAAGTGTTAAACAAATATATTTCAATTTGAGATTCTTCAAATAGCCACCCTTTGCCTTGATGACAGCTTTGCACACGCTTGGCATTCTCTCAACCAGCTTCATGAGATACTCACCTGGAATGCATTTCAATTAACAGGTGTGCCTTCTTAAAAGTTAAGGTAGGCGGGCCTTCTTAATGTGTTTGAGCCAATCAGTTGTGTTTTGACAAGGTAAGGGCGGTATACAGAAGATAGCCTTATTTGGTAATAGACCAAGTCCATATTATGGCAAGAACAGCTCAAATAAGCAAAGAGAAACAAGAGTCCATCATTACTTTACGAACAATGGCTTCCTGTGTTCTGATAACCATGCACCTGCCAAAAACAAGGGGGATTGCCAGCAGCCAAACCAGTTTAGGAGGTAATAATCAAAGGCAGGCAAAGTTACTGTAGGATATACACTACCAGTCAAAAGTTTGGACACACCTACTCATTCAAGGGTATTTAATACATATGGAATCATGTAGTAACCAAAAAAGTGTTAAACAAACCAAAAAATATTTTATATTTGAGATTCTTCAAATAGCCACCCTTTGCCTTGATGACAGCTTTGCACACTCTTGGCATTCTCCCAACCAGCTTCATGAGGTAGTCACCTGGAATGCATTTCAATTAACAGGTGTGCCTTCTTAAAAGTTAAGGTAGGCGGGGTATACAGAAGATAGCCCTATTTGGTAATGGGACCTTACATAGACAGGTGTGTGCCTTTCCAAATCATGTCCAATCAATTGAATTTACCACAGGTGGATTCCAAGTTGTAGAAACATCTCAAGGATGAGCAATGGAAACAGGATGCACCTGAGCTCAATTCCGAGTCTCATAGCAAAGGGTTTGAATACTTATGTAAATAAGGTATTTCGGTTTTTAATTTTTTATACATTTGCAAAAATTGCTAAAAACCTGTTTTCGCTTTGTCATTATGGGGTATTGTGTGTTGATTGAAGAGGGGGAAACATTTTTTAATCCATTTTAGAATACGGCTGTAACATACCAAAATGTGGAAAAAGTCAAGGGGTCTGAATATTTTCCGCATGCACTGTATAATTTAACATGATTTTCTCTGTTAGATTGACTGGAGTCCCCACAGAATGTTATTACTGTATTCTAGTTCACATAATATAAATTGTGTTACAGCTGCATAACAGAGCGTGTCACTGAACGTGCATGTGTTTCTCCAACAGGAAAGATGAATGGATCAAACATGGGTCTTGTGCTGCTTGTGTGGAGGGCATGAACTCTCCCTCGCGTTACTTCCAGATATGTCTGAAACTACGCGGCCGCTTCGATATAGACCGGTCAGCCCCATTGCTCACATTCACACACCTAACCTGCCTGTTTCACAATTACACATTGTCAAACCTCTGTTGACAGCTTTTATCCTGGCTAAGCTACCTGTTCTCCACCCGTTATTCAGAGCCTTGGAGGATGCAGGCATCAAGCCCTCCTGTAACCGGTCTTATCAAGTAGGTAATCACCATCACCTTGGGGAAGGGTTAAGAGACATCTATAGGCATTGCATTGTGGGGTTTACAGAAACTAAATTACAATGCTTTTCATGTACCATTATTTGGATGTACAGACTGAGACACTGCATCCAAATAAGGATATGAAGTCTATAAACATCGTAATTCAATTATCTTGTCTTTTTGCAGCATGTGTTTTAGTAGGGATCTTATAAAATAGAACCACTTAAGTGAACTTGTTTGGTTGAGATCAGAAACATAAAAGAGAAACCCTGAGAACATGACAAATAATTCATATTTATGACAAAGGCAATTAACTTTGAACTTAAAAAGTTTACATGGGGAAGTAGGATGAAACTTGAAGAATTCCAGCTGAATAAGTCACTTAATGCATTGTTCTGCCATCTGTTTAGTACGATGAAGTCAAGCATGCTCTGGCCCCAGTCATTGGAGATGACCCCGGTGTCCAGATTCAGTGTATAAATGATGAAAAGGTAAGCTAACAGCTAGGTAAGAATCCTTAGCCTCTGTCTGTGCCATCATGCCAGCTCTTTGTCACTCAGTGTCATGCCAAACTGTTTGGAGTAGACAAGAGCAAAAACAAATCTGTGACCAAGCTAAAGCGTCACTGTAGTATTGTACCAAACCACACATTATCACCACTTGAGTGTTGTCCGTTTGCCTTTGGTGTAATTCGGCAATGGCACTGATGCTTCAAATATATTGCAGACGTAGAGAAACATTGTTCATTTGTGGGCGTGTAAATGGAATCCCTTCCCCCAGGGACGAGAAGTATTGGTCCAGGTGAAGATTCCTCTGTCTCAAAACCTCACCCTTGGATGTCATCACGAAGAGGACCAGGGAGCTGAACCTCAACCTACCCAGCTCTGGCACACCTCTCCTGGGCACCCCTGTCCAGAGAACTCCACTGTCTTCCACTTCCCTATAAACCACGACCGCCCACACCAGCCCTGTGACTAGTGTTACGTCTGCCCTCACCACAGACGGGGCTGCCATGCCTGCTGGCTTAACCTAATGATAAGCAAGTTCTTGAATTGCAGGGCTCACATCTTTGGAGGTAGATGACATTTAAGGCCCTCATGTAATATAGATACACTTTAAGTCCTTTAAGTATTTTTGTTTTGCAAACATGCTTTTGGTGATTCCAAAATATATATATTTTGTTAGCAAAATAAATGAGCATTTTAAAGCACCTTATTGTTACGTATATACAAAACACAATGTTTATAAAGACACCACACAGTGCAACAGTTCACATTTTATTGACATTGTACAGGCTTACCCAAAAGGTCGTTTCTATAACAAATAAGTAAAGCATAGACAGAAATTACAATCACAGAGCACGAAAAACCAATGGGAGTTCACTTAGAGTACAAGTTTGACTAACTGAAAAAGAATGAACGGGCAATTTCTAATTTTAATCGTTGATAGTGAACATGGGGGCACATATTCTGCTTGTTTTGAGTGACGCTACTTTGCAATGAGGGCATGAGGTTGGGGTGTGATGGCTCAGAGCTCCAGCTTGCCCAGGAAGCGGAGGTTGAGAATCTTCAGCTGGTCATCCAGCTCCATCCTGACAATGCCGTCGTCCCCGTCGATACTCAGTAGGATCCCTGTGGCCTCGCGGTCCTCCCCTAGAATCACCTTCACCTGGAGAGGCGCACCACAGACAACAGATGACACACCAAGAGCAGCCAGGGCCTTACAAACCCAAAGAACCATGCATCTATCCACTGTCCAGTCCTCCAGACCCAGAGCTCTGTGAGTCCAGTAAAGGGGTGTTGTGGTGAAAAACAGCCTTACCTTGTTGTTCTTAGTTGGAGTGACAGGCTCCAGGTGTTCACTGGAGATGCTCACCACCTTCTCTGTGTCCTGGAGGAAGACGGAGCACATGCCACCCTGAGGAAGGAGAAGACGCATCAGGTCAATGATGGAGTACTTGATATAGGAATCAGGTTAAAAGTAATGACGAAATGTTCCACCCTTAAATATAGTTGTGAAATGTTCTTGTTTTAAGTATGATTAGTACCTTCTTAGTAGTGACTAATTATTACACTCTGAAACTGTGTGATATGTTTAGAATATACTACCTGGTAATGTGTGAGTGTAGGACCAGTAAAGACTATGACATTGAGCTACTATTTAGCAATGCGAGTAAAAGTTAAACCAGACAACAAAGGACAAGGAGAACTGTCTACAGGCAACTGAGAAACCAAGATAACTGAGGAATTTAGGGAGGAGAGAAACTGTTAGGCTTGTGTGTGTGTGTATGTGTGTGTGTGTGAACTGATGTTCAGGGGAGCAATTATAAAGTGGAAAACTACAGCCTGCCTACAGAGGAGAGGGATTTTTTTCTCTGACGTGTGCATATAAAAATATTGTACGAACATTTTGTTTTAGAACGTTCTCAATGAATAAAGCCTGATGATTGTATGCTGGGCTACTTGGTCTGATTATTAGAGATTTACAACCTCTGGGATACAGACTGAGTAATAAGTTCATTTTTTAAACATTGGGATAGAAATTCACATAACAGTACTTTGGGGGGGGCTTCTATTTGTTTATAGTATAATAAAAATGATATAATATAGGCCATTTAGCAGATGAATTTATCCAAAGCGACTTAGTAATGCATGATTACATTTTACGTATGGGCAGCCCTGGGAATCAAACCCACAACTCTGGTGGTGCAAGCGCCATGCTCTACCAACTGAGCCATAAAATGCTATTTTGTCCTGCTACAGTGGTAAATATGAAAGTAAAAGCTTATTCCAAATGAAGCGAACACCCCCACCTCTCCATCATGGTTTAAACCAGTGACTGTTTTTTCAGGTTGTTTCAATCGCAGTAATCTCTTTACTCCGACTGTCTGGCTCTCTCTCGGTCTTGAGCTTTTGCTAGCAATCTTGCAATATTGTTTCAACTGGGTCCAGCCAGCTAGCGAACTTGCAACATTGTTTCAACGGAGCCCTCACAGTTTCCTACGCCAATGAGCTCAGGACAGACACAGATGGCTGTATTTCCGTCCCGTATTTCAGCCCCTTTTCAGGTGTCGAATTTTCTTTTTACAAAATAGGTCAATTTACCAGCATCAATTAATTCAGGTTACATGAGCGTGTCATTACACTTTGATGTTTTGTAACATGTCTCTTTCTGTTCATTAAATGTTAGGTGCACTTTTTGGATGCTGGAATTATTTTGGAATGGACGAATGTGCTCAGGTAGCCTACTTTTTGAAGTGATTTGTTTGACAATCAGACGAAAACATGACTGGTTGTGTTCACGTCACATTAAAAAGGTAATACATTTTTACAGTGAAAATTCAAGTCTTTACCATTAGGCCCATAAAAATGTTTCACAAATAGGAAGTCCTGTGGAAAACCCCCCCCCCCCCCCCCCCCTCCCCCCCATTTGTTATGGTGACGAATCACAAAAATGAACATTTCTATACAACTATTTTTCCCCTAAAAGCCAGTCATGTTCCCTCCATTTCACTCCAGACAGAAAACCTTTCTTCACCCCTGTAGCATCTAGGTACGTGGAGGAGTGTTGTGGTCTTTGCTACTCACCGTGACACTGCGGATGACGCCTGTCTGGTTAACCACCTGGCTGTCCAGGAAGGTGTCCTTAACGCGCACCAGGATGTCGGTGGTGACCCAGTCGCAGGAGGTCTGGTCGATGTTGGAGCCGGGGGTGTGGGGGTTGTAGCCGCCAGGGGAGGGGGCGCCGGGGGTCATGGGGCTGTAGCCTACCGGGCTGGGGCTCGGACTGGCCTAGGGTGGGGTGAGACGACAGGAGGAGGCGGAGATCAGGGCCGGGTTTCTAGATAGTGATGGTACTTAGGCTTAAGAGTGTTTTAACAATGCATCGTTCCTACAACAGCCGAAGATGTAATGCGCGTTTCTCAAAACACCACGCAGAGAGAACGTTCGCTTAGTTGTTGGGAGCACGTGTCGATACTGATGGGAACAAAAGGAAGGCAACGCTGCTCTCTGATCAGCGTTCTCTTTTCAAATCTTACTTTAGACACCTTACCTTAAAAAGAAAACACTCAAAAACACAAACATATATACATATATATATATATATATATATATATATATATATATATATATATATATATATATATATATATATATATATATATAGCTTTTTTTGTTCATTAGTCCACTGTTAATACAGTCCCAAAATGTTTTGCATGCCAGTAGTCAAGTTTAAGATATTGGACTTTCAAGAATCAAAGTGTCACATCATCATGATGATACAAAATGCATGCAAGCGAACATTCTCTCTGCGTGGTGTTTTGAGAAACACGTGTTACATATTCGGCTGTTGTAGGAATGATGCATCGTTAAAACACTTAACAGTGCAGATTTTTCCTTTTAATCTAACAGAATTGTATGATCACCTATAGCTGCTAATAGGCCTATTGAGGCGGCTTATTCTATAACAAAGCACTAAATCACATATTTGGTATATCATTGTGCACGTTACACATATACAGTGCATTCGGAAAGTATTCAGACCACTTGACCTTTTTCCACATTTTGTTATGTTACAGCCTTATTCTAAACATTGATTAAATTGTTTCCTCCCCCCAATCAATCTACACACGATACCCCATAAAAGACAAAGTGAAAAACCGGTTTTTAGAATTATTTGCAAATGTATAAAATAAAAAGAAACTGGAAGTATCACATTTACATAAGTATTCAGACCCTTTACTCAGTACTTTGTTGAAGCACCTTTGTCAGCGATTACAGACTTGAGTCTTCTTGGGTATGACGCTACAAGCTTGGCAAACCTGTATTTGGGGAGTTTCCCATCTCCCATTCTTCTCTGCAGATCCTCTCAAATCTCTTTCAGGTTGGATGGGGCGCATCGCTGCACAGCTATTTTCAGGTCTCTCCAGATGTTCGATTGGGTTCAAGTCCGCGCTCTGGCTGGGCCACTCAAGGACATTCAGAGACTTGTCCCAAAGCCCCTCCTGTCTTGTCTTGGCTGTGTGCTTAGGGTTGTTGTCCTGTTGGAAGGTGAACCTTCGCCCCAGTCTGAGGTCCTGAGAGAGGTTTATCAACAAGGACCTCTTTGTACTTTGCTCAGTTCATCTTTCCCTCGATCCTGACTAGTCTCCCAGTCCCCTGCCACTGAAACACATCCCCACAGCATGATGCTGCCACCACCACCATGCTTCACCGTTGGAATGGTGCCAGGTTTCCTCCAGGTGTGATGCTTGGCATTCAGGACAAATAGTTAAATATTGGTTTCATCAGACCAGAGAATCTTGTTTCTCATGGTCTGAGAGTCCTTTAGGTGCCTTTTGGCAAACGCTAAGCAGGCTGTCGTGCCTTTTACTGAAGATTGGCTTCCGTCTGGCCACTACCATAAAGGCCTAATTGGTGGAGTGCTGCAGAGATGGTTGTCCTTCTGGAAGGTTCTCCCATCTCCACAGAGGAACTCTGGAGTTCTGTCAGAGTGACCATCGGGTTCTTGGTCACCTCCCTGACCAAGGCCCTTCTCCCCTGATTGCTCAGTTTGGCCGGGCGGCCAGCTCTACGAAGAGTCTTGGTGGTTCCAAACTTCTTCCATTTAGGAATGATGGAGGCCACTGCATTATTGGGGATCTTCAATGCTTCAGAAATGTTTTGGTACCCTTCCCCAGATCTGTGCCTCGACACAATCCTGTCTCGGAGTTCTACGGACATTTCCTTCGATCTCATGGCTTGGTTTTTGCTCTGACATGCACTGTCAATTGTGTGACCTTATATAGACAGGTGTGTGCCTTTCCAAATCATGTCCAATCAATATACATTTACCACAGGTGGAGTCCAATCAAGTTTTAGAAACATCTCAAGGATGATCAATGAAAACAGGATGCACCTGAGCTCAATTTTGAGTCTCATAGCAAAAGGTCTGAATACTTATGTAAATAAGGTATTGTAGTATTGGTAAGACATTTGCAAACATTTCTAAAAACCTATTTTCGCTTTGTCATTATGGGGTATTGTGTGTAGGTTGATGAGGATTTCGTTATTTTTTAATCAATTTTAGAATAAGTCTCTAATGTAACAAAATGGAAAAAGGGAAGGGGTCGGAATACTTTCCGAATGCACTGCATATTGAGGCAAGAATTACATAGCCTAAAATTAGCAACAGAACTCGATTGAACATCAAATTGATTTCAATATATAGGCCTATGTAGCCTACTTTATTTATATTATAATGCAGTCATCCCAGTTTGCATTTTAAGCATATTTTTAACCTTCACTTGTTTGAAACATTTGCAAAGACATTGGCAACTTTGTATTTGTAGTCAACTTCATTCTGGAGTTAACGGCGGTCAAAGGGACAGATAAACATCTTGATTCTATGTTTGGTGGAGAACTGAGTATAAGGTGACACAGAAGGGCAACAAAGCATCTGGACCACTAGAATAGCTGAGGCAGTCAGTAAATAACGAGCATTTTTAAGAGCAACTTCAATAACAATGGTTTTGAGAAACAGCTCGGAGATGAACGTTGCTCCTGTGGAGGTTCTAACGATGAATTTAGCAGATTAGCATCCAAACGTGTTTGATCGTAATACTTTTCCCCCCCTGGTAAGACATGCCCATTGTATAAACCAACAGCATTAAGTCTTACTAGTGGGAAAGAATGACATGTCAACACACTGAAAGCTAAAATAGCGTATTGCAACACACTTAAAGAGAAAGACAGATGTCCTGGAAATAATATGAAGTGCGTGGCAGGGCACGACATTAACGCTTGTCCGGGACAAGTAAAATAAAACAATAAAAAATTGGACAAGAATATTATACACTGAGTATACCAAACATTAGGAACACCTTCCTAATATTGAGTTGCACCCCACCTTTAGCCTCAATTCGTCGGGGCATGGACTCTACAAGGTGTAGAAAGCGTTCCACAGGGATGCTGGCCCATGTTGACTCCAAGGCTTCGCACAGTTGTGTCAAGTTGGCTGGATGTCCTTTGGGTGGTGAACCATTCTTAATACACACGTGAAACGGTTGAGCGTGAAAACCCCAGCAGCGTTGCAGTTCTTGAAACAAACCGGTGCGCCTGGCACCTATTACTATACCCAATTCAAAGGAACTTACATTTTTTGTCTTGCCCATTCACCATCTGAATGGCACACACGCAATCCATGTCTCAATTGCGTCAAGGCTTAAAAATCCTTCTTTAACCTGTCTCCTCCCCCTCATCTACACTAATTGAAGTGGATTTAACAAATGACCTCAATAAGGGATCATAGCTTTCACCTGGATTCACCTGGTCAGTCTGTCAGGGAAAGAGCAGGTGTTCTTAATGTTTTGTCAACTCAGTGTAGATTGAAGTTACAAAAACAACACAATATCAAACAATTACGCCGATGAGAATTTGATCAGAGAAGCCAACATTGGAATAATATTCTAATCTATTTTTCATGTACATAATAAAAATAAACATAAGTCAAAGTGTAGGTGATATGCATATCGGCTACAGCCTCATGTCCAAACCGATGCTGACATGAGGGAGGCGCCAAAAAATGTAGCCAAACTTTAATTACATAAATATAAGCTAAACGGCAGTCATGTTTGACAAATAATGAAAGATTATTCAAATTAACGTCTAAAGGCTTGATTCTGTCGACAGGCACGGTTCGTTCAGATCAAACCACCACAAGACCGGAGAATGAAGGACAATGCTTTTGCGCACCGCACATCACCCACCTTGAATCTGAGCAGATGCGGTCAGCATTTTGAAACTATTTAACCATAAACTTAACTCTTTAAAACCTGGACATTTTATGTCATTTTATAAAGCATGTCTTACCTTGTTTCAAAGAAGCTTAGCCTAGCCAAAACACAACCATACAAATGTTGAGGGAATTATTTGATAAACTATTCATATGCCATTGAAACCAGCATCTCTCTTATGTTCTTATTGGTTTCCAAATTAACTTATTTTATTGTCTAGCAGCTAAAGGCACAATCCTGGTCATATTAGTAACCCATGCTAGTTGCTGCATCTTTAGATCTCCCCTCTTCATTTCTAACAGATATTTTCCTCTGTCACATGAAAACGCTTGCGAGTGCGGTGTGCTTTTGTGAACGTGTTTTCCCGCTAATTGCATTTTGGAACATTCGTGTGTAGCCTACAGCCATGTGCACATCAACATTTCTATCAACATTTTAAGCTCAATGGTCTGATCGGTTGTGTCAGCTTCATTGCTTTAAAACAATGTTATGTGCAGTGGGTGTATGAATTTTATTAAGACATAAAAAGTATTTGGTTGTAATTGTAATGTTGCAATATTTTCATAGGCTTCCAAGGGTGGCCCAGCATCCTCCATGGGAGCCTTAAAGGGGCAGTGTTGTATTTTGAGACAGGCTTGAATATGCAAAAAAGCCAATGGGCAGAGTGTAGCCTACATTTGTCTGATTCTCTATGGTAAAAAAAGATAGTGTTAAAAGTAGTTCCTTGCATCATACAATGATGTAAAAATGGTGTTACAGACCAATTTCTATTTTTGGACAAGTGACTTGAGCTTTCAGACAAGTAAAAAAAATAAGTTATACTAAGTGGCAGAACATTTTTATGTCAAGCGTGGTGGGTCTTACCTGGTATGCCATGGGTGAAGGGGTGGGATGGTAGCTGGCTGGTGAGTGTGTGTTCTGATAGCCCACTGGGCTGGGGGCCACCTGATGGTAGCTCTGGGGACTGGGGCTGGGCTGGTACGAGCCCTGTGGGGAGGGGGCAGTGTACGGCGAGTACTGTTCAGTGTTGTACCTGAGGAACACACACAGTTAGTGGACTTGGCTAGGACAGAGAGAATCAAACCCACCTTGAGCAGCTGGTCGCCACTGTAAAAGGGGCCTAGAGACATTGAAAAAGATAGCAAACAGACAATGGAATACTGTGCGTGTGTGTGTGACTCACATGGCTGGGGTGCCTGGGGTCTGGGGGTTGTACTGGGGGTTGACCTGGGGTGAGGGCACCTCTGGGTAGCCGGGGGTCTGGGGGTTAGGCGTAGCCCCGTAGCCCTGAGGGGACGGGGAGGGCTCGTCATCATAACCAAACTCATAGTCATCATCCGCCCTAAAACAAGAGGAACAGAGAAACAGGTTAAAGGCGGTTTCCAAAAAGTTATCCTACTAAGGAAACATATTTTCAGGATCTGTAGAAAGTACAGAAAATAGCTGTATTCACTTTGACAACTCTTGACCAAGACAAAGACCAACAAACCCTTATCAACCATAGACTGCTGAGGCACTTTCCCACATTTAGTTTTTCCCACATGTAGACTACCTGGATGGTGTGTTGGGGTTGTTGGGGTCCCACGCACCGCTCTGCCCCGGCGTCCTGCTCCCATCATGCAGCGGGGTCTGCGAGCCGTAGTGAGGCGTACGGCTCCCTGTGGGGAACAAGGATTACCACAATGAGAATAGTTCTATTGCAGGTCATAGATATACAGTTGAAGTCGGAAGTTTACATACACTTAGGTTGGAGTCATTAATACTTGTTTTTCAACCATTCCACACATTTCTTGTTAAAAAACTATAGTTTTGGCAAGTCGGTTAGGACATCTACTTTGTGCATGACAAGTAATTTTTCCAACAATTGTTTACAGACCGATTATTTCACTTATAATTCACTGTATCACAATTCCAGTGGGTCAGAAGTTTACATACACTAAGTTGACGGTGCCTTTAAACAGCTTGGAAAATTCCAGAAAATGATGTCATAGCTTTAGAAGCTTCTGATAGGCTAATTGACATAATTTGAGTCAATTGGAGGTGTACCTGTGGATGTATTTCAAGGCCTACCTTCAAACTCAGTGCCTCTGCTTGACATCATGGGAAAATCAAAAGAAATCAGCCAAGACCTCAGAAAGAAATGGTAGACCTCCACAAGTCTGGTTCATCCTTGGGAGCAATTTACAAACGCCTGAAGGTACCACGTTCATCTGTACAAACAATAGTACGCAAGTATAAACACCATGGGACCACGTAGCCGTCATACCGCACAGGAAGGAGACGCGTTCTGTCTCCTAGAGATGAACGTACTTTGGTGCGAAAAGTACAAATCAATCCCAGAACAACCGCAAAGGACCTTGAGAAGATGCTGTAGGAAACAGATACAAAAGTATCTATATCCACAGTAAAACGAGTCCTATATCGACATAACCTGAAAGGCCGCTCAGTAAGGAAGAAGCCACTGCTCCAAAACCACCATAAAAAAGCCAGACTACGGTTATGTCGATATAGGACTCGTTTTACTGTGGATATAGATACTTTTGTACCTGTTTCCTCCAGCATCTTCTCAAGGTCCTTTGCGGTTGTTCTGGGATTGATTTGCACTTTTCACACCAAAGTACGTTCATCTCTAGGAGACAGAACGCATCTCCTTCCTGTGCGGTATGACGGCTATGTGGTCCCATGGTGTTTATACTTGCGTACTATTGTTTGTACAGATGAACGTGGTACCTTCAGGCGTTTGTAAATTGCTCCCAAGGATGAACCAGACTTGTGGAGGTCTACCATTTTTTTTCTGAGGTCTTGGCTTTGCAACTGCACATGGGGACAAGTATCGCACTTTTTGGAGAAATGTCCTCTGGTCTGACAAAAATAGAACTGTTTGGCCATAATGACCATCGTTATGTTTGGAGGAAAAAGCGGTTGGCTTGCAAGCCGAAGAACACCATCCCAACCGTGAAGCACGGGGGTGGCAGCATCATGCTGTGGGGGTGCTTTGCTGCAGGGGGGACTGGTGCACTTCACAAAATAGATGGCATCATGAGGAAGGAACATTATGTGGATATATTGAAGCAACATCTCAAGACATCAGTCAGGAAGTTAAAGCTTGGTCACAAATGGGTCTTCCAAATGGACAATGACACCAAGCATACTTCCAAAGTTGTGGCAAAATGGCTTAAGGACAACAAAGTCAAGGTATTGGAGTGGCCATCACAAAGCCCTGACCTCAATCCTATAGAAAATGTGTGGGCAGAACTGAAAAGGCGTGTGTGAGCAAGGAGGCCTACAAACATGACTCAGTTACACCAGCTCTGTCAGGAGGAATGGGCCAATATTCACCCAACGTATTGTGGGAAGCTACCCGAAACGTTTGACCCAAGTTAAACAATTTAAAGGCAATGCTACCAAATACTCATTGAGTGTATGTAAACTTCTGACCCACTGGGAATGTGATGAAAGAAATAAAAGCTGAAATAAATCATTCTCTCTACTATTATTTTGACATTTCACATTCTTAAAATAAAGTGTTGATCCTAACTGACCTAAGACAGGGAATTATTACTAGGATTAAATGACAGGAATTGTGAAAAACTGAGTTTAAATGTATTTGGCTAAGGTGTATGTAAACTTCCGACTTCAACTGTATATTCTGATTGAGGGCCATTGAGGTATTCCCTTGGTGGGGTGTGTCTCACCATCGTGTAAGGGGGTCTGGGAGCCATACATGGGGGTACGGGAGCCTGTCCCGTACATGGGGGTCTGGGAACCGTACATGGGGGTGCGTCCGTGGGTGGAAGTCATTCCTCCATGCCTCTTGGCTCCCCTGAATGTAACAAAACAAGTCAACACACATTAACATACTCAAAAGGTGAAATACTGCATTAATATCACTGTGTTCACAATATATAATTGTAATAGATCTCTGATGATTTGAACGAACATTGTGGTGAGACGCTGTCGGTCCACAGAGATGGTCTGGCATGTCGAGTGCAGCTCCACTCTGGCTGTCGACTCTGTGGCATCCTTCACCACTCCAATGTATCCTGGGAAATAATGGCAAGGGTTAGGCCAAAAGATTCCCCAATGAGAATGATCAAGTGTTGAAAGTCCAACACCCATTGTGCAACATCCTCTTCTGCTAAACATGTTTATTGTTCATTCTGCAGCAGAGGACAAGCCCATCTGGTTCCCATGTAACCTGGTTCAGTCCTTTTTCTGCGTTCATAAGTGGGAAACTACAAAAATACTACTTGTAAACTGAGAGAAACGAGTTGTGTGCATTCACATGCTTTGAACTCATTGAGAACGCAGATTAGCTATCTCTCTCTCGCTCTCTCAGTTGTATGCTGGTATTTAACAAATTTACGAGATGTTATGAACGCAGCATTACCCTTGTATGGTCCCTGGGAGATGCGGACGGTCTGTCCAATCAGGTCGTTGTCCCTCCTGCCCCGGCCGCGCCCCATCTGTCCACCTCCTCCACCGCCCCTCTGCTGCTGGCCTGAAGGAGAGGACAGGAGTTGTGTATGGCCTCTGGTCTGATAGTTGTTATTTAGTGATGTATCCTGCACTAAGCGACTGTTCCCTAATGTCTACAAATCAACAAAGGCTTATGGTGAGAGTGGGACTAGGACCTCATGCTCTCTGTGAGCTGAGCTGTACTCTACTCACCACCACCTCCGGGATGCATGGGGCTGCTGATGCGTGGACTCATAGGAGCGAAGCCTCCCACGGTGAAGTTTGTGACGTCTCGGGGCTATAGCCAAAGAATGGAAGAATCAAATGTCAACAACAGCTCTGATGGTTCCCACTGGACAAGGTTAAGAGGTGATGGCATAGATGGAAGACTTGAAAGTGATGATGTAAAAGTGGTGAGAGCCAATGGGAGATGGACCTTGGAGCCCCCGGCCAGCACCACGTGGCGTGTCTTGCAGACGAACATGCCCCCGTTCTCCACCAGCTTCTTACAGTGCAGGAAGGCAAAGCCTCGGAAAATGTGGCGGATCTCTCCCTCACGCCCCTGAAAAAAAAAAAAACACACACCACTTATATGCTAACAATCTACTCATTCTAATCGCACCTTTGGCAAATAGAAAAATAGCTAGAGATGGGCGATAAGGCCTAAAACTCAACATACAAAAACAACATTTTGTGAATGAAAATACGTCAAAGCTCTTCAAGCCGACTGCTACCAAATGTGTCAATGAGGGCTCAAGTCCAGACACTGGCTTTGAAAATACAGTAACCAAACCTAGATGGAGGCCTATAGTAGCGCCCAATAAAATATATATATTTGCTAATTCCGTTGAGTTCCCCGCCCCAAATTCCATTCGCTGTTTTGTTTTTCCTGGTTTCAGATGTCATTTTTTTCAGGTTTTGGCTCTCAAAATCACTTTGATAGAAAAACAACAACATTGTACGTTCTAAGTCCACAACAAGGCTTAAACGACATCAGGAGACCATGTTTGAGGTCTGGGAAAAATCAAAGGAATTTTTGTACACCAGCAAGAGACTTGTTTGGTTAGCAGTGTTTCTATAGCGCACAGGTGATTGCAGAGTTTGCTAAACAAATCGCCGCTGGATTGATGCAAATAATCACGGTTATTCTGCCAGGTAGGCATAGGCTACTTTGTAGTTAACATTTAACTGAGAAGGTTTTTTGGAAAGCCTCTCCATCTACCAGAATAGGGTTATCATTAGCATCATCGCTAACGGCTACAAAGTGGTAGACAAACGCAGACAGGCAACTTGCCTCTTCAGAAAGTTGAAGGAAACTAAGAATCACTGATGCATTTTGTTCATGTATTATGATAATCTTAGGCATATTAATAAAATGTTCTAATAAGTTCAATACATTGAGTTGATTTCCTACTAACGTCAATACATTTTTGAATATTGTTGAATTCCGTTTTAATGTCTGGAATCCGTGATTCCGTCCGCATTCTCTGCATCGCAGATTTTATAGGGCCCTACTATAGATGGAGTTGAGAAATACATTTTCTATGAGTTTAGACCTATAGAAAAAAAGAACTGTGATAATGAATCTTACCGAGTGTGGCCCGTCGATGACCTTGACGATGTCTTTGACGTGGATGTTGTTCTGCTCAGAGTCCAGCGCCACGGCAAAGCGGTTGTCTTTCCGCCGATTCACTGCCTGGTGACGCACCGTCAGCACCTTGCCGTGCATGTTGAGGACCTGGGGATAAGGGGGAAAACACGTATTCTTAGCTTCAACCCCGCAGCGCACACACACACACACACCAATTGATTAATGGACTTCTGAATGTATATATTTTATTATCTTACTTTGTTTGCTCTTTTCAGTATTAAGCTACCAGGGAAAGTCGCTCTGGATAAGAGCGTCTGCTAAATGACTAAAATGTAATGTAAATGAAAGGGCTGAAAATAGCCCATATTAATATATGTAGCCTTAGAAATAAGGTTCATGAAATCAATAACTTGTTAACATCAGATAACATTCATATATTAGCCATTTCTGAGTCTCACTTAGATAATTACATTTTATGATACAGCAGTAGCAATACAACAATATATCATCTATAGAAGAGACAGAAATGCTTATGGGGGAGATGTTGCTGTATATACACATATACACACTGCTCAAAAAAATAAAGGGAACACTTAAACAACACATCCTAGATCTGAATGAATGAAATAATCTTATGAAATACATTTTTCTTTACATAGTTGAATGTGCTGACAACAAAATCACACAAAAATTATGAATGGAAATCAAATGTATCAACCCATGGAGGTCTGGATTTGGAGTCACCCTCAAAATTAAAGTGGAAAACCACACTACAGGCTGATCCAACTTTGATGTAATGTCCTTAAAACAAGTCAAAATGAGGCTCAGTAGTGTGTGTGGCCTCCACGTGCCTGTATGACCTCCCTACAACGCCTGGGCATGCTCCTGATGAGGTGGCGGATGGTCTCCTGAGGGATCTCCTCCCAGACCTGGACTAAAGCATCCACCAACTCCTCGACAGTCTGTGGTGCAACGTGGCGTTGGTGGATGGAGCGAGACATGATGTCCCAGATGTGCTCAGTTGGATTCAGGTCTGGGGAACGGGCGGGCCAGTCCATAGCATCAATGCCTTCCTCTTGCAGGAACTGCTGACACACTCCAGCCACATGAGGTCTAGCATTGTCTTGCATTAGGAGGAACCCAGGGCCAACCGCACCAGCATATGGTCTCACAAGGGGTCTGAGGATCTCATCTCGGTACCTAATGGCAGTCAGGCTACCTCTGCGAGCACATGGAGGGCTGTGCGGCCCCCCAAAGAAATGCCACCCCACACCATGACTGACCCACCGCCAAACCGGTCATGCTGGAGGATGTTGCAGGCAGCAGAACGTTCTCCACGGCGTCTCCAGACTCTGTCACGTCTGTCACATGTGCTCAGTGTGAACCTGCTTTCATCTGTGAAGAGCACAGGGCGCCAGTGGCGAATTTGCCAATCTCGGTGTTCTCTGGCAAATGCCAAACGTCCTGCACGGTGTTGGGGAACCACCCCACTGTGGGTCGGCCCTATACACCTCTGAAGTCCCCTGACCGTTTGGGACAAGCCATTTGCTGCTGGGGTCTTTTGTCCCTCCTCGTCCTCCTGCCAAAGGCAAGCGGTCCTTCTGCTGGTTTGCCCTCCTACGGCTCCACGTCTCCTGAGTGAATGGCCTCCATGCTCTGGACACTACGCTGAAAGACACAGCAAAAACTTCTTGCACAGCTCGCATTGATGTGCCATTCCTGGATGGAGCTGCACTTACCTGAGCCACTTGTTGGGGGTTGTAGACTCCGTTCTCCTGCTACCACTAGCCGTGACAAGCACCGCCAGCATTCAAAAGTGACCAAAACATCAGCCAGGAAGGCATAGGAACTCGAGGAAGTGGTCACCACCTGCCAGAACACGAACCATTCTTATGTGGGGGTTTTGTCTTGCTAATTGCCTATAATTTCCACTGTTGTCTATTCCATTTGCACAACAGCATGTGAAATGTATTGTCAATCAGTGTTGCTTCCTAAGTGGACAGTTTGATTTCACAGAAGTGTTATTGACTTGGAGTTACATTGTGTTGTTTAAGTGTTCCCTTAATTTTTTTGAGCAGTGTATATACACACACATATACATATATATATACATATACATATACATATATATATATATATATATATATATATATACACATATACACACACACACACACACACATATATATACACATATACAGAGCCATATCCCTGTAATGCTTAGAGAAGATCTTATGTCAAGTGTTATTGAAGTGTTGTGGTTGCAGGTTCACTTGCCACATCTAAAGCCTTTTCTTTTGGGGTGTTGCTATAGGCCACCAAGCGCGAACAGTCAGTATCTAAATAACATGTGTGAAATGCTTGATAGTGTATGTGATGTAAACAGAGAGGTCTACTTTCTTGGGGACCTGAATATTGACTAGTTTTCATCAAGCTGTCCGCTCAAGAGGAAGCTTCTTACTATAACCAGTGCCTGTAATCTGGTTCAAGTTATTAATCAACCTACCAGGGTGTTTACAAACACTACAGGAACAAGATCCTCCACATGTATCGATCACATTTTTACTAATACTGTAGAACTTTGTTCTAAAGCGGTCTCCGTACCCATTGGATGCAGTGATTACAATATAGTGGGTATATCCAGGAAAGCCAAAGTTCCAACAGCTGGGCCTAAAATAGATTGCGCAATATCACTCAAGTTCCCATTTGCAGAACAGATTCTGGACAAACCATCTCTCCAGCAGGCACACAGCCACGACTCCAAGCCCACACACCCAATCACTTATAAATTAACATGTATTTTGTCCTGATCTGAACCTGATCATTTCTAAAAGGGGAAAAGTATTTTGTGGAAGATTAAGAGTACCAACCTGGAATGTCTCCCTCTCCAGCCTGACAATAACTCCCACGGTCTGGGGGTCCAGTTGGACCAGCTCTCCCCACTCGTGCTGGCCCCCGGCATCTACCCCTGACGCTGTCTCAGAGCACAGCTGTAAGTCCCGGGGCAGGACCTTCAACTGTAGAGCACACACAAACCCGTAACATCGATAATGGTTCACTGAAGTTATGTAGGAATTATGCAAAAATATAAATCACAAAAAAGTTAATGTCCCAGTCCAATAATGTGACATTGCTTACCTCGTGCATGGTGAGGTCAGAGAAGAGGATGACAAAGTTCTCCTCCACGCGTACGATGAGGCCGGTGTCGCCCTCGTAGCGGCCTGCTATCACCTTGACGTGGTCACCCATGCGGAAGTACTTCCTCAACTCATGGGCCGGGAACTCCAGAGGATCCTGCACACAGACCAGGCATCAATGACAAACCATTATTTTGTATCAATGCCAATAAGAATGAACAGAACACAGTGGGAATGTCTGGCCGCCTCATGTGAACTTTTTGATCCCATAATTCTATCCCTCCCACAATTTTGGCAAGCCCAATGTCTTCATCATGCTGTGATGTGAGTTAGTTTGCTGGTAGTTCTCTCTAAATTCCAGTTTATGTGGCTTGACTAATAAATAACCACATTGTTCCTATGCAAACAAGAATCTGGTTTGTAACCGCTTGACCCCGGGTCATTCAGTGTCTTTGGGTATTCTATCACTCCTGATTTTTGGGAAGCATGATGAAGTAGTCTATTCATGACTACAGACGGCACAATGCTTTCTTCATGCTGTGATGGAATCGTGTTTCCTCTGCATGCTATTTGCCTTGGCTGAACCAGGATCTGGCCTTCCAGCCAATTCAAAGCAGCCTGTGTTGGATTTAATAAAAATTTAATAAAAGAGCTTGTCTGTAGTCAAATGATTGCGCCGCTTAGTTCATAGAACTGCAGTTACGCAAGTAACCTCCGATGTCCAATATTAGCAGATTTTGGCTCTAGCTTTTGAACGGCTGGAGGAACTCAGAAACACATACATTCTGTTTTCCTCTACGACACTCATAAGCCGCGCAGGACACTTTAGAAGGGACTGTGACAAAACCGCAATTGAAAGCAATGCAGATTATATTTTTATACACACAATTATTACCTGATGAGCTTCCCTGATGTTTTCCTGAACTTTACAAAACCTTTGATGCATTTCAGTCACTTTGCGATGCAATTAATTTTTTACACCTTTCCTATATTAAAGTAATTTCACATATGTTCTTATTATCTGCATAAACATAGAAATATGGTTGCAGTTTGTAATCTGTGCTAGAATGGTTATAAAGGCCATAAAATGGAAAATAAAATTAAAATAAATCCACATTGGTGCATCTCTATAAATTATTATTTTGGATTGAAAAACAAATCCAGGCTACACTTGAACGTCTAAAACCAGATAGAAAGTATGCAGAAATTATAACGGACATTGGAAACAATGGAAATAACCGCCCTTTTTCTGGCCCGCAAATTGATGCACCGATATTGACAAATATCGGTCCAAAAACACAAAAATCATCCCTCCGTTGATTGCCCACCCCGGTTTACTGGTAGTTCATTAAAATTCCAATTTATGTGGATAGACTAATAAATAACAACATGTCATTCCCATGCTAACAAGAATCTGGTTCATAACGGCTTGACCCAGGGTCATTGGCTTTGGGTTGTTTTTAACAACATGTAGACTGAATATCTTACTTTAGGGCCTGAGAATATATCTGCACAAAATTCTGTCGAAAACCTGCAGAACATTATGTTCTGTTTTGACAATTCTAACCAATGTGAACATTTTTCCACAGAATTTGACTTTAGGCCCAACACTAGTAGGACAAATCTGAAATGTCCTCCCAATTTCATTGTCTGTTTGGCGCTTGTCATTACCTTGAGGTCCTCATGCTTGGGCATGATGGTGATCTTGTTGCCATCCACACTCAGGATCTTGCCCTGCAAGTTGATCAGCTCTCCTTCACACACCTCCACGTTGTCCCCGGCCTGGAGGTTGTGCTCACGCTCTTTACCTGTGGTCACACAACAAGATATGTCTCTTACAAAAGCATATACACACATGTAAATGAAAACCAGCAAGTAAATACCAAATCTCATATATCCTGAGTATGCCTTAGAAGTGGCTGTTACCTGCGGTTTCAGTCACCACCTCCAGATCAATGCCTTCTGGCTGGTCCTCAAACTTCTCCAGCTCCGACAGAGTGGGTTTCACTCCTTCAGTGATCTGTAGAAGACGATAAAAAGAAGAAGCCATTGGTACAGATAACTAAGACCACTTTTCTGCTCCGTTTTTTCCCTATAGGGCTGTCAAATGGTTAATAAAACAGTGGTATTGAGGCAACATGGTCGTCTTACCACAGCAGACATGGCAAAGCTCTTGAAGAGGAACCCTTTGCGGCTGTAGCGGTTAGCTTCAAATATCATGAAGTCCCCGTCATGGCTGACATCCCCGCCAAGTGACCTGGAAGAAAACACCGCCATGAAGTAACCGAGGCGGTGATCTTACCCATTTAGGATAGTGTAATCAAATCCCCAATAATGATAGTCTTTAGGACATGTTTCTTTGTACCTGATCTTTTCTGCATCGAAGAGTCTCTGGGCTGGTCTCTTGAACTTCTTCCGCTTTGCAAACCAGTCTTTCTGAGAGACAGACAACAAGAAGAATGTCAGGGGATGTCAAAGTGGAGGGTGGTGAGTAAACAGGTGGTAACAGAGTGGTGCTGTTGCTTACCATGCTCATCCGGGCCTTGATTCTGTCTAAATCTATCCTGGGAATCATCTTCAGTGATATCGTGTTCTGACTGGGCTCCACATAGTCCACCTAAAGGAGGAGAATACATGTATGTTTCAAGAATATGGTAAGGATATTTACCTTTGTCTTCAAAATCAATTTTCATCAGTCTTCACAAGTGCTGACTTCCACAATGTGTTTCAAGCATACCTGGGCGATGTCATCTTTGTATAGGCCTCTCTTGAGTCGGACCCAGGACTTGGGCTTGAGGTTGGTCACCTCTTTGACCACCTTGAGGACATCTGTCATCTCCTTGATGGGAACCATCTGCTGGTTCCAGAAGCCCATCCTCAGGTTGCCTATACCGTCAATTGCAGCCTTGACGTGCGTCTGCTTGTACGACTCCACATAGATGTAACCTTTGACATGTTCAGGAGCCACTACCGACTTGATTTGGAGAGGCTGTGTAGAAATGGTGTATAGGAAATGTAAACGGTTTCACAGGTTGTCAAAGCTCCCATTTATTTATTTTGTATCTACAAGAGATGTACAGGCTATAAAGAGATCAATCATATAACACACTAAGTGCAAACATTAGTGTCTTAATACATGGAACATTTCCATGCAGAGAATGAGGGCGGGGACATACCGTGTCTGTGAATTGATAGGCAATGAATTTCCTCATCAAGGCGATGGCAGTTGCTCTCTCTTCTCCAATCTGTAATGACAAAATAATGCATGACAAAATTACTTTTTTAATTGTGTGCTGAACTTTAGGATGTTTACACAAATATAAGCTTCATACCTTACACTTGACCGTCCAAAGATTAGGATCCCTTTGAAAAAGAAAATATAATACCAAGACCATTGAGAAAATTAATATATTGGATCGTTGTAGTCCACTAAAAAATCCATTCCCCATTTTGGTTAAGGTGACACATACTTGACGCCAGGGAGCAGCTGCTGCTGGGTGATGTCATCAGACAGTTCCTCAGAACCCCCAGGAAAACTAGAGGGAATCAAAACCGATATTATTTGGTCAAATAAAATGTTGAAATTGAAATTTGGGCCAACTATTTTGACAGATTACTGTGAAAATACTCACTCATTTCCTGATTGCTTGGCATATTTCCTCATGTAATATTCACCCAAGGCCTCCTCTCTGGAATCTCTGAAATATCCAAACATTCAAATGTCAGACTTCCAGAACAAAGCTTTGCATAGTAACAACTGAAATATCAATGGAAAGAAGCCTAGCCACTCATAGCCCATAAGAACACATTACCTCCAGAGGTTCTGCAGCCTGCGGGAGCCAGAGTTATCCTCATCCAGGACCACATGGTCAATATTGGACACTGAAGAATAAAGCAGACTCAGTAAAGACATTACAATCACACAAAAAACTATTTAATGTATAAGATTGAATGTAAAAGTTTCCTTCAGCTCAAACAAGTGGTCCTTTAAGAACCTATCTGTGTATACCTATGTCTAGCCCCAAGTGATAGGTGGGTCTTTTTCATATTGGAAGAAGTAAGATAACACTTACCCTCAGCTTCCTCTGCTCCGGGCCAGGCAGGTTTAGGTAGAGGAACACACATTAACAGCCAAATGAGATTGTCATGTGCACACAGCAAAGAGTGACATGGGCACAGATAGGAACAAGTGAAAAAAAAACAAAAAAAAAACATTAATTATGGTAAAAGACTAGACCGTATGGCACGAGACCATGAATGATTGTAATGTGGATAATTGTAATGTGGATGCTTATGAGTCTTTGTGATATGGCTGATTGATGTGCCACGAAAAGCTTAAACAATATCAGTTAGCTAATTCACACATTCACTTTCTTGTAACAGGTAGCATTTCAGGCAAATGGTCACATTTGGTTCACGCTTTGATTACATGCCTAAAACACCATGGTCAGATTATTGACAAGTCATAACTCTGCTGGTGTCAGGTTAACATACCATCCAACAACATTTCTACAATATTTTCCTGACTAGTAGGCCATCACTGTAAATAAGAATTTGTTCTTAACTGACTTGCCTAGTTAAATAATGGTTAAATAAAAAAGTAAGTAGGTCAAAGCTGTCAAATAAAATATAATAATTTACTACTTCATACAGGTAGCCTCAGTTATTATAGGAGATCCCAATAATGTATTTGCCGTCTGTGCTCCTTTAGATTAGATGTGCGGAAATGTGGGTGGAGTTATAACAGAATGTGACTTGTTGAATGAGAGATAACTAATCCATTGAATTAGATACAAGGAAAACAGACAGCAGAAAATCTGGAATTGATTTACCGTTAACTGAAGGAGGCATGCACAAGAAAAGGAATTATTAGCACAGGAAGAACAAGGTCAATAATCTCACATATAATAATTTGGGCTTAGATTTTATTATTGTATTTGTAATGATTCCCGTCCCTTCCTGAATCCAAACAATACTACAGACAAATCCATCATACCTAAGCATCTGCACACCACCCATAGGAAAGTTATTTTCTAATCATTTAAATGCAACAAAGTTCATGACCTGAGTCCTCATCAACAGACAACTGCCCCAACGTTGTTCATATAGAATTCCCTCTCAGGTATTAGATATCCTTAAACACGGCCGCAAGTGTGACCTTACCTTTCTCCAAAATATCCTCAGCGCCTTCCTCCCACGGGTCTTCATCTTCATACTCATCGTCCACATCTAAACAAAACCAGAGGAAAAATTTGAGTTTCTTTCAGATACATTAAACCAAAACGTTTTGGTGAGCAAGAACATGTGGACAACTATTCTACACCACAATGGTATTATTAGAGTGAAGATTTGTCTTACCGGCTTCATCCAAGATGAAACCTCCATGCCTGGGTTTCTTTCTGGGACGGTCATCATCGTCCTCTTCCTCCTCTTCGTCATACTCCTCCTCATCTGCCAAGTCTTCCCCTTCCTCTTCTGCTGCCTTATCACTGCCAGATAAACTTGCCTGCCCATCTTCCTATATAGGGGGAAACATTCAAACCACTCACAAGTTATGTGAATGCAGTGAAACTTGCAATGTGAATTTGGAGCCAATCTAGGTTTGTTAGCATACATTCTGATACAGTGGCAAATTGAGGGCCATGCATGCACAGGTGCATCTGTTCCACCACCCACCCATTCACACTGGGCAAGTTCCATCCATGAACAGCCAGCTACTTTGCATAACCTGACGTTAGCGCTGTGTTGTTACAGATAGCTAGTTACTACTAGCTAATAACAGTGCCGGGAACCCTATCTTACACGAATGACAACGCTGCCATGTGACCAAGCTGTTAACAGCTATCTACCTAGCTATCTAGTTAGATTAGCTGGCTTAATGTTGTTAGCTGGCATGCAGTGTTAGCCAGAGCCTTGTTAGCTAGCTAGCTTACCTCTGCCTCATTTTTGTCCACCTCCTCGGCTTCGCTGCTTTGTTCACTCTGATTGTCAGAGAAATCGCTGTCCTCACTGTCCGACATTCTTGGAGCCGGGGTCTCCTCTAAAGAGGCTGCGTTGAAAAGCACAATGATTTTAGTTTTCTAACTGGTGTTAGTTCAGACAGTCCTTGCTTGGGTGAGACTGAAAACTAAATACTAGCTGCTATCTACCACTGTACTGGCTACAGTAATTAGCCAAAAAGCTGGAGTAAATATGTTTTAGGATAACAAGCTTAGCTACCTTATTCTCCAACAATGCATATTAGAGTTAGTTATTTAGCTAGCTTATTAAGCTAATGTAACCACCGAAACCATAGAGAGAATGTACAATGTTGATAGCTAAACGCGAAGGCAAGGCCTAGTAGTAGGATCACGCTAGCAAACAATCCACATTTGCAAGTATATTTTCATAAATATATTCCAAGCATAGTTATATCTTACCTTTCTAAAACACGCGTCTTGGTTTGGACTTAACTAAAACAAAAAAAATATGCTATTAAATAGATACTTTTCTGTCACTTCCACGTCTTCCTTCAATAAACAGAATCACGAGATTTGGAAGGCAAAATACCAAATTCTCGCGATGGTTCGAAATAACGGTTAAAGTGGTGCAGTCTCATCAAAGATGTCTATGTCTGTGGTCTCATGTCCATAACAGCACACCTGATTTTATGGCTGTAATAATAATGGTGAAGGTGCATAAAGATGTCGGCCCCCATGTACTTACCACAAACGCCTCATTTGCTAAGTTCGCCATTTTGTACAGAGCCCTCCTTTACTATTTTTTTATTGGCATTATAATACACCTGATCCCAATTCTAGCTCCAAGACTGCAGCAAAAAAAATATTTCAACGACAAAGTAGATTGTGCTGATTTATAGGCACATTGAACCATGCCATAGTTTAAAACGTCTGTGGATAGATAGTGCTCATAGGAATACATCATATCTGAATTCCTCAATCTTTATGCACCATAGTGACTTGAGATACCAGTATCTGACTCTATGCTTACCAACTGTTTAAAAAAAAAAGTTTTTGTGGTATCATTATGTTGTTGTTTTCTTTTTTTCCACATAGCCTAGTGATACAATGTAACTACTATATATATAAAAATTAAAAAAAGAGATACACCAAACATTAGGTAGCCTAGGCCCATTATTAGTGATGGGGGAAAAATCGATACAGATACATATCGCGATATTACAATGTTTTATTTATTTAAAATTTTAACTTGATAGCTTTAGCTAGCACCAGTCGGCTGTAACTGCACCAAAACTCTGCTATTTTTAGTCCTATAGCTTGTTCTCCATCTTCTTTTAAAATAGTGAGCCAACATGATTTCAGCACTTTTATTTCCATGACTAGCTAGTTTCCATCCAATTGTTGACAGATTTTCATCCAAATATTCTAAAATCTGCATAAAGAAAATATGTGCATTTCCCACCAGTGGTGTTTCCTCCAGGACTTGTTGCAGAGAAAAAATTGTAGAAAAATCAGTGTGTGATGATGTAGTGCACACAAAATGTACTTTTTCGCTTAAGTTTTCATGTACTGAATAAAAATCTGAAGTTCAATGTGTTTCCATCGCATTTTCAACTCCACTGATAGTTTTGTCACAAAAACGGTTGCATTAAATAGCACATACACCATAGCAACAACTCGCAGCTACAGTGTGGTTAGGCTGTGCTGGTAGGCTATATTAATCTACATGATGAGACTATTATGGATAAGAGTGAAAATATTTGTATTTGTCAAACGGCAGTAAAGCATCGATCATCATGTCACCGGAATAAGACCCTCGATATTCACCACCCTGTGAAGTTCATCATAACTTATAACTTATTATAGCCCAGTCCTTCTCAAATAGTGGGGCGCGCCCCCCTGGGGGGGCTCGGAGCGATGCCGGGGGGGCGCGTGTGACCCCGGGGAACATGCTTTTTTTTGCCGCAGGGAGTAGTTTTTTTTTGCACCGAACAAGAGCACACAGCACAGAGCAGGAGATATGAAGTGCAGATAACAAACCCTTAGGAGACACCATGGAAAAATATTTAACAGGGATGAAAAGAAAGGCGGAGAGAGACGGAGATACTGAGACAAACGTAAGTCTCCCGAAAGCTAAGACGAGGAAATATGATGAAGCGTATGTAGCGCTTGTCACGCCCTGGCTCTGGGGACACTGTTATGTTGAGCCAGGGTGTGTAATTCTATGTTTGGATTTCTATGTTGGCCTGAGTGACTCCCAATCAGAGGCAACGAGTGTCAGCTGGTTGTCTCTGATTGGGAGCCATATTTAGCTGTCTGTCTTTCACTTTGTGTTTGTGGTTTCTTGTTCTTGTTCGGTTTGTGTTAAACCGTAGACATCACGTTATCGTCCGTTGTTTTGATCGTGTGATCATTCTATTAATAAATATGTACGCATTCAACGCTGCGCCTTGGTCTCTCCCTGACGATCGTGACAGCGCTTGGCTTCACTGTGACTACGGTGGGAGACGAGGAAAGACCGGTATGTTTACTGTGTCTAAAAATGTTGGCAGCGGACAGCATGAAGCCAAATAAATTAAGGCGTCACTTAAAGACATTACACCCCAATCACGCTGATAAGCCGCTTGAGTTTTCAGTGAAAACGTGCCGAAAATTGCAAACAATCGTCCCGCTTTGTGAATGCTACTTCAGTAAACCAGCGAGCACTGTTAGCATCATATAAGGTGGCGTACCAAATTGCTCAGTGCAACAAAAAAAAACACTCCATAGCAGAGGAGCTGATACTGCCTGCAGCATTAGACATGGTCTCTGTCATGCTGGATGACGCAAGTGCTGCAAAAATAAAAACTATCCCTCTGTCCAATGACACTGTCACCAGACGTATAAATGACATTGCTAACGATCTTAAAGAACAGCTGGTAGATAAACTCAAAGACAAACGTTTTGCCTTACAGTTCGATGAAGCAACTGACAGCATCAAAGACTGTTTGTTTATCGCTTATGTACGTTTTGACATGACAAACTCCCTGTGTGAGGATCTACTTTTTCGTAAATATGTCAGATACAGAGCCACAGCTGAAGAGCTATTCAAAATGCTGGACTGCTTCCTGACTGAGAATGGGCTAAAGTGGGAGAACTGCATTGGTGTTTGCAGTGATGGTGCACAGACCATGGCAGGGATGAGAAAAGGACTTCGGGCACTCATCAAGAAGGCCTCACTTAATGCTGAGTGGACACACTGTGTTATACACAGAGAAGCACTGGCATCAAGGCACCTTTTCTCTGAATTAAGTGAGGTTATGACTGACATTGTAGGTGTAGTCAATTTTATAAAGACCAGACCACTAAAAACAAGAGTCTTCTCTGCTATCTGTGAGGAGATGAGAGCTGAACATCAAGCTGTGCTGTTTCACAGTGAAGCAAGGTGGCTGTCACGAGGAAAAGTCTTGTCCCGAGTTTTTGAGCTCAGAGAGCAGATAAGAATGTTTTCGGAGCAGGAGCACAAGTATGACCTCGCAGAAAAATTTAGTGATGAGAACCTCCTGGCAAAACTGGCCTACCTGAGTGACATATTTGGAAAGCTAAATGAACTAAATCTACAGCTTCAAGGGAAAGATAAACACCTCCCTCAGGTCACAGACAAGATCAGCTCTTTCACTCGAAAGCTTGCAATGTGGGGCAGGCGACTTGATGAAGGAAATACTGATTCATTCGAGAACCTGCATGAATTTGTTGACACTACTGACTATGATGCCACCTCAGTGATTCCATATATTAAGGAGCATATTTCATCACTGATGGGATTCTTTAAAAAGTACTTCCCTGAAAACAGTTCCCAATATGACTGGGTGAGAGATCCTTTCAATGCACCAGCTCCAACTGGTTTCAGCTCTGCAGAGGAGGACCAGTTCATTGATATGACGTCTGACTCCACATTGAGACTGAGGTTCACATCACAGACACTGAGTGAATTCTGGCTGAGTGTAGAGAGGCAGTATCCACTCATAGGGCAGAGGGCCATGGGCATTCTTCTTCCTTTTGCAACATCTTATCTTTGTGAGACTGGCTTCTCTGCTGTTGCTGCACTGAAGACCAAGTGCAGGTCCCAGCTAAACATTGAGCAGGAGCTGAGAATTGCAGTATCATGCTTCAAACCCCGCTTCGAAAAGCTGTGCACTGCAAAACGTGCTCATTGTAGCCATTAATCCTGACTTCCTCATTTTGATTTAAAAAATAATAATAATCAGCACAAATTGTTTTATTCATTTTTGTTTTATAGGTCAAAGTGTTTCATATATTGTGCTCCTGAGTTAATGTTGCTGATCAATTTGAATGTATTATTATTTATTGATTATATTTTATTTTATTTTTCAGTATCAAATGGTCAAAAAATGTTTACAGTTTAAATAAGGTTTGCATTTTATTTAAAATTTCAGGCAAATTTATGCACTTTTAGTATTTTCTGTTACAGACTAAAAAACAATGTTAATAAAGTTATTATTTGTTGTAAGTTGATCTATATTTTTCTTTTTTCTTTTTTTGTTTTCTTTAATGTTAATAAGGATACAATGTTATGCAGAGGTGTACTTATAACAATTTTATAGACAAATTATACTATTTACAGTTGCGGCGGAGAGTTGGGGGGCGCAAAATGTTTACTTCTTCCTAGGGGGGGCGTAACAGAAAATAATTGAGAAGCACTGTAATATAGCCTAATAAACTGCATGGTTTCCAGAGTCCTAGTGGGAATACCACACAACATTTCATCGCGTGACTCCAAGTTTAATTCGATATGATAGTTATTATATAAATATTTGAGCATAATGGCTTTTCCACCAGAATTTTTCTCATAATTCATTTTAAATACACAAAAAGATCCCACCATGTAAAACGAACAAAGGCATTTATAATTTAACTCAAGCATAAAAACTGTGTATGATAACAAGGTTAGTCAGCGAGATTATTCTTATTTGTCAAATAGCAGTCAAGCATCGATCATCATGTCACCAGAATAAGACCATCAATATTTATTGGAAAGGAACACAATGCACTTTCACCAC